TATTGTTAGTTTTAAATTTTTGGGCAAACTCAAGGTCTGTATATACACCTCACGTTCACTAAAAATAAAAATATATGATTTCTAGATATTAGGGAATACAAAATATTTTGTTTCCTTTCATTTAAGATTCAGTTTCATTGTATAAGATAGTTCTAAAAATTCGTAGAATACATTTTCTAAAATATGAAGAACACATAGTAAATTCTAGAATTGATGTTCTAACTTTTGCAGAATATAGGGTAAAGTGTAGAAAATAAATTCTAAAATTTGTAGAATATAGAGTAACATGTAGAATACATATTCCAAATTTTGTAGAACACCAACCAAACCTGAGTTCTAATTTTTATAGAAGATATATTTATTCTAAAATTTTCAGAACAAGTGCAATGCGAAGAATTTGTAATCTACAATTTTTAGAACATGTAGAGTGTGCAGAATTCATAATCTAAAATATTTAGAATACAGAAGATGTGTTCTAAATATTGTAGAATGATTTTTTTCAATATCAAAATCAACATACTTTCATACAAAACTCTTTTGTTTAACCTTAAATCTTATTAATCTTTAATTGTTGATATGTCTTAATTTAAAAATTAATTAAAAATTAATTTTATTTATTTAAAAGGGTAATTTAGGTATAACTGACAATTTACCGCAGAAAGCCTAAAAGGACAAATTTTTAAAAAAACATCCTTTAAAATCAAAACCCCCTTGTAAATTTAATACGGGAAACCTAAAGTATTTGCTAACTCGAAATATAATGTGTGAAGTCAAGAAGTATAATGATATCTCAATTCAATTAATGTGATTATGAAAAGCATCTTGGACATTTTGTACATGCATCCACATAAACGTTCAACTAAGTATTGACAGAACTAATTAGTTCTGGTCTTGGTATAGAGTGAATGAGTAGTTATTAAGTTGTCTTGTTATATTAAAGTCTTCCAAAAGTTGAGTTCACATAATTTGGAACTAAATGCTGAGTCTGAGAGTTAGACGTTGATCGATCACATCTGCTAAATACCAAACTTTGGAGTTTGGACGTCCATTATATATAGAATGAGTAGCAACTTAAAGATAGTGTTATATATATACTCCAAATTTCACGTTTTAGACATAATTAGAAATCCAGCAAAATTTGTAAATGTAAAAGTGATGTCATCATGATCATTATCAAAACCAAATATCATAATGGCTTGTAAATAGTGATATCTTCATGTAATAATCTTGATTCAGTTTATTTAGTGTTATGTGGAATGTAAACGACGACAAAAAACAAAAACATATCAGTTGTAGATTACCAACTCAATCTGAAATTTAGAAAAAGTAAGTAAAGACTAGTTTATTAACTTTTGTATAAACTATGACCTTTTAAAACTGCCGTAAATTAATGCATCACCATATCAAACAAGTCGATATAAATTTTTGAGAAAATAAACAAACAAAACAATTACCTTATTTTATATATATACGAGTGTGAACATAACACAAATAATTATTTTTATATTCTAAATATTTTAACAAGTTTCTTTTACGCAACTAAATCTATAATTTGACCCGTGAGAAAAAGAAGACCCGACTCCAAAAAGGAAAATCCAATGTTCTATTCAAAAAAATACTATTGAAAGAATTAGCCCAAAAAAGATGGCATTAGTGGAATAATGGTCCTCTAATTATTTATATAATACCCATTGTCACAAAATATAAATATATATATAAATTGTTTACCATATATTTTGGGGACAAGACAAAAGCACCAATGACCAAACCCCATCTTGTTCTCTCACTCTCCGTACGTACTATTGCGACTTTCGTTTTTTTTTTTTTTTTCTTCTCTTTACGATAACGCGTTTTTTAAGAATCGAATAAAATATATTTCTGTTGAATTTCATATTTGCATGCACATAGAATATCATTTTACTTTCTTAGAATTCAGCACCTTATTTATGAGTTCATGTTGAACGATGAAGTTGACATTGTTATCATTACTTCAAAGTCAGCTTTTACTTTCACAAAAATTTTCGGATGAATATGCTATTTTTAGGATATGGTCTGTTTTAGAATTATGTAACGCGTGATTCCGATAGTACACGCATAATATGAATTACAAGTTTAAAGGTTCACATAGTTGTTGGTTAAGACAGACAAATTCTTTGATGCATTGAACAATTTCTTATTTACTTAGTATATATTCATCAATTATAATTTTTAATGACGGATTAGTTTACTTTGTCTGCGACTACCGTTCGAAAACATGAACATGCATGCGAACCTTTTGTCCCAACTTGTTTAGTTGTAGTAAATATATCATCAAATGTTATTATTGCTATATTTAAGATTACATGCAGTGAACTATATTTGATTAGTTCTTTATTTTTTCCAAATTAAATATATAGTCAGTCAAGGATGACATGCTTTCACATTAGTGTCATTTGTTCAACTATTTATATTAATCTATACTTTATACTAGTATTAATTTATTAATTAGACCATATAGCTTTATTACAACCACCTTCGTTAATCACCTATATGTGTCTGCTTGTAAATTATATTTACATACTGTATCCTAGAATTTGTAGGTATAATATTTATGATCCATAGAGTCAATATTTTTCCGGCTCTTCGTGTATTCAAGTCAATTGCATTTAGATTTAAGGTTGAAAAAGTTGAAGTTTTATAAGAAATGGTAATTAAAAAAGTCCCCTACTTATGTGAATATATATGAATTTTTTCTGGTCATTCATTTATTACCATTATGACCAAGAAATAGTCTAAATGTGGTATTTAAACTGCTAGTGTTTACATTAGAGAAATTGGTACTTAATTTATTTTGTGTGTTAGTTTTCTTTACCTTTATTATATAAAAATCGGTTCCTAATTCACAAAAGTATTTGGTATGTATTGAATTACTTGTGTTCTGTATAAATTTGTTGACTGGCTATAAAAATTGTGAATTTAAAATAAATTATCGTTAGTACACCAAGAGAAAAATATAAGATATTTAAGACCACATAAAAAGGTATATTACTTGTAATCAACACATACACCAACTTTGTTTAGTAACCTTTTAGAACGATATTTTTATGTGGCAATATTATTTTGACATTTTTTTCTGTGTCATTGAAAATGATTACGGTAACTTTAACTAATTAATTAATGGTGTATTGTAGTAGTAATTATTCCAAATTTTGGTTTACCAAATTGATCAACGTGAGGTTGGATTAGTCGCAGAATCCATGTATGTAAGTCGAAAATGTAAGCACTTAGGAAGCCATAAGTCGAATTTTGTTAGGCAATATAATTTATTAAAAGTGAATTTCGATTGTAACTAAGATATATAACTCTAGGTCCAGAATATAGTTATCAGATTATGCAAGAAAGAAAATATAATTACCCAAATCTTATCATCAAAACCAGAACTGGTTTTGACTTTTGATAATTCTAAAATAACTAATGCAGTTGAAAGTTGAAACTTTGTTTTTTTTTAACTCTATTGGCCGACGCATTAAATACCGTAAATTTATAAAACTCTAATGAAGTAACCTTTTTAGTTGCTCTTAAGTTAATCTTACTTAATACTGCTAAATAAAATAAAATCATGATTATAAATATACTCATGATCAGCATTCTTCACAAAACATGATTAAATTTGTTAATTAAACTAAAAAATAACCTTTAGTGTAAAAATATATAGAGATATGGTGAATTGAAAGATGTAGGCAAGCCTCATTTGTTGACCAGAAGAAACTTAGTCGCTGAGGTGGTGGGGGATGTTTTTGTTTGAAAGCTTGGAAGAGTTTTGAGTGTTAGTATGTGTGAACGCGTTAGTCAACTTGCTATATATTATCACGAGCTTTTCTCTATCAAGCGCACAGTTCTTGATTTTTTTTTTTTTTTTTTTTTGCCATCGTTCTTGATTTTTTTCTTTTAATATTTTTGTTCTTTTCTTGTTTTAAATCTGTGTCATAGACTCATAGTAGTAATATTGCATATTTGTAATAACTAGATTTTGAAGTAAGAAAAAAAAATAAGCAAATGTGTATGCTGAAACATTACTCTTAATAGTACACATAAGTTGACAAAAAAAAAAAGAAAAAAATAGAGCACATATTTTGTCGTTATATTGAATAATATGATATTATCAATCGAATTTTTTGAAAGAAATGAAATAAATATTCTATTATTAGTAAATTGAACTAACAATTTTTGTAAAAATTTGCATAACATAATTATTTTTTATATAAATCTCAAAATTAAGATTTAAATATATCTAATGTGCTGGATACTTTTATATGAAAAATGTTTACAATGATGTTCAATAGACATGCATGGCTGCATAATATATGTACTATATGGTTAACCTAAACACCATTACTAACTAGATTTAATTAAAAAATGTCAAAAAGTAAAACCAAATTTACGAGCAGATAAATGAACAGTAGGAGTATTTGTTTTGGGTCAACATATAATCCACCCAACGTTGATTTTAGTTTGTCGTATTACATCTGTAAAACGTTGATTTTCCTATAGTATACGTGTGGGCTCATTATAATGCCCTTCGTGCATCTACGGTCTATCCGACGACTTTGTTGTTCACTCGGAACTATCTCACTACGCATACGACACATATTGCACCACCATACACACACATTTACATATACATGCAGACCAATTATTACCATTTTCATTCCCACATGACATATAATATTATGTAATAAAACATACTTTTGACTATGTTGCCAATAACCCACAAAAGACATATCTCTCTCTCTCTCTCTCATCCTATTTTCCAAGAAGCTCACCAATGCTTTTGAATTCTCCCACATGTCTTTTGACAATTTCAGTATAAATACTCAAAGCCCCCTTAGTAAAATCATTCTCATGCTCATCAACAACATTTGATCACCCACACATCATATCTTGATCGTTCGTACCACACAAGACAAGAACTTCAGCTTATTTGTTTACCTGGCAATCAAAAACATATAATCATCAAAGAGATGGGAAGAGCTCCATGTTGCGAGAAGATGGGGTTGAAGAGAGGGCCATGGACGCCTGAAGAAGATCAAATCTTGATTTCTTTTATCATCAAACATGGCCATAGTAACTGGCGAGCCCTCCCTAAGCAAGCTGGTATGTACAAATTATATAACACCCCACACTTATATAGTTTCCTCAATTTTGGTTATTTATTATAAATTTCTTGACATTAATGGTGATTACTAATTACAGGTCTTTTGAGATGTGGAAAAAGCTGTAGACTTAGATGGATGAACTATCTAAAACCTGATATTAAACGAGGAAATTTCACTACAGAAGAAGAGGATGCTATCATCACCTTACACCAAATCCTTGGCAATAGGTATTTTAATTACTTCACATTTCAACCGACACACAACTCTTGTTTTGTTTTCTTACTATATATTATAAATTCACCAAAAATAAAGTAACTTTACACACACGTCTAGGTCCACTATTACTAAAGAATTAGTTTTGTATATTGATGTTCTCTCTTTTGTTATCGTCACTAGGTGGTCAGCTATTGCGGCAAAACTTCCAGGAAGAACAGATAACGAGATCAAGAACGTATGGCACACTCACTTGAAGAAGAGACTCGAAGATTATCAACCAGCTAAACCTAAGTCAAGTACTAGCAACAAAAAGAAGGGTACTAAACCTAAATCTGAACCCGTATTATCGAACTCGAACAGTACTAGAAGCGAATCAGAGCTAGCAAACTCATCAAACCCATCTGGAGAGAGCTTGTTTTCGTCATCACCTTCGAGTAGTGAGGTTTCTTCGATGACAGTACACATGAGCCACGAAGGACATGATAGCAACGAGGCTAAGATGGATAACAAACCTATCATCGATCAAGATTGTGTTTCTTTCGAAAATTTCGGTGCGGACATCGATGAGAGCTTCTGGAACGAGACACTTTATAGCCAAGATGAACACAATTACGCATCAAATGGCCTTGAAGTTGTTGGTTTAGATGAACACCAACAGTTTCAGCACCTAGGCTCGGTCGATAATGAAATGATTTTCGACAGTGAGATGGACTTCTGGTTCGATGTATTGGCAAGAACTGGCGGGGAACATGATCTCTTAGCCGGTCTCTAAATTAACATGTCTGAGGAGTAAGGCAAAGAAACTCAAATTGTTGTTAATCAAAAAAAAAAACAAAGAAACATTCTAACTTTTGATGTGATGTAGTTAAAGTATACTAATTAGTGGCTGCGTTTTCACAAAACGAATTATTCATTTGTTTCTCTAATAATCATCAATGACATATGTATATATCAAGGAGCCTATTTAGCGTATATTAAAATTGTCTTATTGATGAAAGTATTAATCAACAAATTAAATAACATTGGATGCTAACATAACAACAACATCATAAGTTAATTTGTTATTATACTACTATTAATAGAAACGTTTCCACGTTTTGAAGTTCAAATATGGCGGAAAAGTTAAAGTTACGTAGTAATAACTTAATCAACATCCATAATCTCTAAACATGATTTGTTGTTTAATTAGTGGTTCTTGTTAATGATATATGTAATGTGACAATGTGTCATCATTTAGTTTAAGTCCACATATATGTATCACATTGCTGACAGAAAATATAATTAAATGATTGATTTACTGTTAAATTAGATATTGTTTGTTGCTAACTCGAGTTAGTAAAATTATCAAATTTCATATTGCAAAAAAATATTTCCGCCAGAGTATGGTAACTTAAACGACGTCGTACGTGCTTAAATGCTGTGAAAGAACAATTGTGTTTTTGCTAAACGGTGTCGTTTGTGGTGAATCTTCGTCTTCTCTCCAGAAACTTCGTCTTCTTCGTGACGTCCGTCTTTTTAGTTACCGTAACATTTTCAGGAATAAAGAAAAACAATCGAATTCGGCTTTGTTTGAGCAATTAACAAACCCCTCGATCGATTTTGTACAAAAAGTTTTCATCTTTCAACACATCGACATGGCTACTTCATCAGGTTCGTTTCTTTCTTCTTGCGACAATGTGATATCTCCGTTCTTGAATTTGTGTTAAAGGATTTGGCTTTATCGTTTATAGCTTGTATGGTTTTGGTATTTAAATGGGTATTTGAAAAAAATGTATAATATGAATCAAGAAATTAATGTTCTTGGGCATGTAATGTGATTGTGTAGTTGGGTTTAAGTCGAGAGAAGAGCATCGGAAGAAACAAGAATTGGAGGAAGCGCGTAAAGCTGGGCTTGCTCCAGCTGAGATTGATGAGGAAGGGAAAGAGATTAACCCTCATATACCTCAGTATATGTCATCTGCTCCGTGGTATCTTAATACTGAGAAACCAGTAAGTTCATGTTCCTATGTTGTGTTCTGTTCTACATCAAATTTTCTTGTTCTGTGCTTATAGATTGTGTGTGTGTTGTTTTACTCAGAGCTTGAAACATCAGAGGAAATGGAAATCTGATCCGAACTATACCAAGTCGTGGTACGATAGAGGAGCGAGAACGTTCAAGGCAGACAAGTATAGGAAAGGAGCTTGTGAAAAGTGAGCAACGTGGTTAAGAAGAAACTCTTTTTCTTGTTGTTTGTTCAGTTTCTTTGATTTGTGTTGTCTCAGGTTTTGAGTTTCTTTGTTTTCAGCTGTGGGGCTATGACGCATAGTACAAAGTTGTGTATTGAGAGGCCAAGGAAGGTAGGAGCGAAGTGGACTAATAAGCATATATCTCCTGATGAAAAGATTGAGTCTTTTGAACTTGATTATGATGGGAAAAGGGATAGATGGAACGGTTACGATATGAATCAGTATGCTCGAGTGATTGAGAGGTATGAGGCTAGAGATGAAGCGAGAAGGAAATTCTTGAAAGAGAAGCAACTGAAAAAGTTGGAAGAGAAGAGTAAAAAGCAGCGTGTGGATGAAGAGTCTAGTGATGATGATGATGAAGACGATGCTCTGAAACTTGATGAAGCTAAAGTTGATGAGAGCAAGCAAATGGACTTTGCTAAGGTAGAGAAACGTGTCCGAACAACAGGCGGTGGCAGCACAGGAACTGTTAGGTATGTTTGATGATCTGATTCTTGCCTATTTTTCTCAGTCTTTTAATTTTTGGTGTCATTGATATGTTTGTGATGTGCTTCTCTCCACAGAAACTTGCGTATACGTGAAGACACTGCAAAATATCTTCTGAATCTTGATGTCAATTCCGCTTATTATGATCCCAAAACTCGGTCTATGCGTGAAGATCCTCTTCCAAACGCCAATCCAAACGAGAAATTCTATGCAGTAAGTGCCCGGAAATTTATATTTTGCAGCTTTATTGACATTGATCTCTGTTAACAATTTTGAAATGTGCCAGGGAGACAATCAATACAGAATGACTGGACAAGCCCTAGACTTCAAGAAACTCAATGTTCATGCGTGGGAATCATTTGAGAAAGGCCAAGCGGAGATCAACATGCAAGCTGCTCCTTCTCAAGCCGAGCTGCTTTTCAAGAACTATAAAGCAGCAAAGGAAAAACTGAAGAAACAGATGAAAGAAACTATCATGGAGAAGTATGGAAATGCTGCATCCAAGGAAGAAATCCCAAGGGAGCTTCTACTAGGACAAAGCGAGAGAGAAGTTGAATATGACCGTTGTGGAAGAGTTATCAAAGGAATGGTACTTAATGGAAAACTTATCATTCACTCTTGGTGTAGTTTTAATCTTTCTGCATACTCATCACTCCTTGGTAAAATTCAGAATTCATCAGTATACTACCAAAAGTTTCGGCTTTAATCTAACAAGACATGCTAAAGTCAAATTTGCGCACATAAGTAAATGGGACAGGGATTTTTGTTTCTGTCAGACATGGTTAGTTTCATTGTCTTTGTTTTGTGTGTGTTTACAGGAATCATCAGTACCTAAAAGCAAATACGAGGAAGATGTTTACATAAACAACCACACAAGCGTATGGGGTTCATGGTGGAAAGATCACCAATGGGGATATAAATGTTGTCAGCAAACAATCAAGAACAGCTATTGCACCGGAGTGGCAGGAATCGAGGCGGTTAAGGAAGCTGACGATCTGATGAAAACCAATATCGAAAGAAAAGCAAACTGTTGTGGTTAGTACTGCACATTTCTCTGTAGTTAGTATGTGTTTTGTTTGCTTGTTGGTCTTTACATAGCGGTTATCGATGAGTGTGATGGCAATGTGGATGAATGCAGAGATGTCCGGTCCAGTAACAGAGAAAAGACTCGCGACTTGGGGAAGTGAAACGCAAGAAGATCTGGTTCTTGACGAGAAAAAACTCGCGGAAGCTCTAAAGAAGGTAAGAAATATCATCACCAATAACAATTTTTGGTTCCTTTATTATGTTGAGTGGTTCCACTAATGTCATCTGGTTTTTTACAACCAGGAGGATGAGAGAAAGAGAGAGGAGAAAGACGAAAGAAAACGCAAATACAACGTCCAATGGAATGATCAGGTATATATATATCATCATCACATCATCATCACATCACAACACATTGATTAAAGTTATAGAGCTATGTTTTGGATTATAGTGAGTTTATGATACATTTTTGTTTTTCAAAATTCCAGGTTACACCTGAAGAAATGGAAGCATATAGAATGAAAAGAATGCATCAGGATGATCCCATGAAGAATTTTTTGCACTAAAGTGGCTTTGTTAATATTAGTTGTAGTACTTAAGAAAAATTTACGAGACAAGAAACCGAATTGGTTTTGTTATAAATTTGTTTGGTTTGTTATAAATAACCGAATCGAAATTAATGACGTTCAAATTTAACCAAACCGGGGTTTTTCCGGTTAAGTTCTTCCAACAAAAAAACACATGAATCTCGTCCTGTAGAGAAAGAATGACGAATTGTTGTTCCAAATGGTGGAGAGATTTTTTCCGACGAAGCTGAGTTACGGCGACGTTAATCGCCGGCGGGACTACCTCACTCTACTCTCCGGCCCAGTTTCCTCGTATATTTTTTTTTTCCTACTACGCTTCTCCCTTGAACTGATCCTCTCTTTGCTCTCTCACTTATTGTTCTTCCTCTACAGAGGCAAAACCTCTCTGCTTTTTCAGTTTGCTCTCAATCTCGCGAGCGCTTCTACAGACTCTCGCGTCGTCTTCATCTGTCACCGGAAAAAACTCGAATCCAATCCTCCGTTTCTCTCTCAGGTAAACTTTTTTCGCATCGCTGCCGTGTTTGAAATTTCTCTGAGCTTTTATGGTATCTAGACTCGAATTCTTCTCAGGGAATCGATCCTTCCTCCGATGTATTCAATCGGATTCAGATGAAGTTAGTAAGAACACAAACCAATTTACTTAGCTTTAATTAGCGAATGATTCAGTTTGTGATATATCTACTTTGAAGATATGTGGATGATGATGAAGGAATCAGGAAGTACTTTGCTGCGTTTCATCTTCATCATGTTGATGATTCACCAGTTGCTGTTATAATTGATGATTTTGGTGATTACTTTACACAATTGTAAGCTTCCACTCTTCACAGGTTCACACATTGGTTTCAAGATTTTGCTTAGAATATGATCATGATGGTTTGAGTTCTTCGATTTTAGGAACTCGGTAACGAGTTCTCGGGCTAGAGATATGGCGATGGTTCGGACTCTTGCTCTATGCCACAATGCTATAGTTGATGCTAAGTGAGTGAGCCTTTTCTCGAATGTTTATATGATGAATCAGAGGAAACAATTTTTGTATGAGTTTTGTGTTTTAGTAGGAAAGCCTTTTGTGAGCTTGTCTTATCCGAGACTAACCATGGAGATTCCCCGAGGTCGTTGTTCATCTACAAACGATGGATCGCGAAGATCTTTTCGATAAAAGGTTTTTGTGTTTTTGTTTTCATCCTGATTCATATATACATTATAACATTTTTTCGATGCTTAGTTTGTGGTATCCATTTATTGTGATGAAGCTCATGGTGATGGATCGTTTGTCTTGACAAGTAATGGTGCATTCGAGAAAACTGCCAAGTATTCGATCGCGCTGCAATATCTTATCTTGGAGCAGATGATTGATGCTTGATGATTGATTTATCCGTTTCTTAAAATTCTTGCTGTTTTGAAAAGTTTTGCAAATTGGTAATTTGCATTATTAGGTTCTTAATATGAAATTGTCTTTCTTAGCTTAATTTTAGAAAACAGAAAGAAAAGTGACTCTAGCTAGCTTTGCGACTCTCATAGAAAGAAAAGTGAGCCTCTTTGCTCTATTTGCTCGCAAGCTTGGGTCAGCTTGGGATCTCATATTCTAATTACAGAATTTGATTTTGATTGTCAAAGTGAAATTGAACTATAGGTAATAAGCATCGTCTGTTGTTAGCCATATAGTTGAAAGCATTGACCTATTCGGCTATTCCTTTCTCATCTCCAAATCTTGTTTGGTCATGTTGAAGATCTCTATACAAGAAGCATAATTTATTTTGTTTTGTTAAACTGCTTTTGGCCTTTTAATATAGATATTCAAGCATAGTTTTAAATACTATATGGTTTTCCTATGACAAATTCTAATTTTAAGATGAGTACTTTTTTATAACTTTTTTTTTCCTTGTTGGTTTGCTAACATTATGTAAAGGGTTTTTGTTAGGTAACTTCTTAGTGCAAAAATATAAAAGTGTCTTTTATTTTTCTTAGTCTCAAAAGTTTTTATTTATAAAAAAGTAGAAAACTGAGATACACTATATAATACAATGAGAAGAGGCAAAGGGAATGCACTAAACACTACTATCTTATGCATTATGTTCCAAGAATGACTTGTAATTCTCTAACCTATCTATCCAAGTCTCTTTTTATTTCATTTTTCATTAGGATCTTCTTTCATATGGGTCAAGTTTAAGATTTTCTCTGCTTACATGTTATTGCTTGAGTTATTTTACTATAAGTTCCAATTATAAGTAGATGTAACATCGTATGAATGACAAAATTATGAAGGTGTGAGTACATTTTTTTCTAGTTCTATTTCATTATTAGTAAGTAGTAACGCAAGGGTCGACCCAAAAATATGTTAAGTAGATGTGTTGCAAAAACTTCCATTGAACTGGTCTAATCTCTTACAATCAAGAAAAAAAAGTTCTTCCTCACAACGTCACGTAATAATTTAACCCTTAATTAAAATATGACTATTTTAAGCTAAATAATGTTAATCATAAGAAACGTAATTAAAATATGACTATTTTAAGCTAAATAATGTTAATCATAAGAAACGTAATAAGAAAGAAGGAAGAGCGCCAAAGTCTGAGCTAAATCTATGGAGGTATCAATCATTCCTAAAATGGTGATCTTCTCTCAAGAAAAAATATTATCTCTCCACTAAAACCATTCTTACGTACATTTTCCTCGTATCATCATTTCAAAGGGAAACGTTCCAAGTTTCTGTGTGTGTATGTGTACGTAGATATGTTTTGATATATATATATATAAGATAAATGGTTTTGGCCGATGAGACTTGAAGTGGATCAAGCTGGAGAAAGTAATATTCGACGACAAATGAATCTATGAAGACGTGTGAATTACAACACTTGATGCTTCTTGAGTTTATCCGACGTTCTTCTCTCGGGTTTCTCAGATGGAATGGCAGATCCTTCTAGTTGTTATAACTATCACGAGCGTGACATCGACCAAGTTTGTTTTCCTCTTTTTGTTATTCTATTATATCTTATCTAACCAACAAAACATTAAAAGCTATGTGTTGTTTTCTTGATACCTAGCTCGCATTTTGTTGTAGGCACTTGTCGTACTGAAAAAGGGAACACAATTACTCAAGTACAGTAGGAAAGGGAAACCTAAATTCCGCGCATTCAGGCTTTCACCGGTATGTAATGTTATCGGTTTTTCAATTTTATATATATGTTTGTGCTTACATTTTCATTGTGCTCATAGTATGTTGCATTGTATTCACCATTATTAATCAATGATGATGACAGGATGAAAAAACGTTGATTTGGTTCTCGCGTGGAGAAGAAAAAGGTTTGAAGTTATCTGAAGTTTCTCGAATCGTCCCTGGACAAAGAACTGTAATCTTGACTTGATGTTACTAAATCTTTCACTCAAAAGCAATGTCTTATTTGAACTTGTTTCTAATAACTTCTTATGAACAGGCTGTTTTCAAGAGATTTTTACGTCCAGAGAAGGATCATTTATCATTTTCACTTTTATATAATAATAGAGAAAGGTCACTTGATCTGGTTAGTAAACAGACCACTTCAAAACTTAGGTTATAAATTTGAAAATTCACTTATTATATATTCATGTTTTTTGTTTGATAGATTTGTAAAGACAAAGCTGAAACAGAGGTTTGGTTTGCTGGTCTTAAATCTTTGATTGAAAAAAGCCGTAATAGACGCACCAGAAGTGAGATCCCTGAGGTATGTTCTTCAACATTTGTATATACATATAATTTAATCGTTACAAGTTAAATCTATATTACATTGATTCTTTTATATTTTTCAGATACATGACAGTGATAACTTCTCTGTTGGTCGTCCATCTATAGACTTTGTCTCGAGTAATATTCCACGAGGTAGAACATCAATCGATCTAGGACATCAGAACAATTCAGATGTGGGATATGAACGTGGAAACATGTTAAGACCAAGCACAGATGGTTTTCGGATTAGTGTCTCAAGCACACCAAGTTGTTCAAGTGGAGGATCTGGTCCAGATGATATAGAATCATTAGGTGATGTTTATGTTTGGGGTGAAGTTTGGACCGAAGGGATATTACCAGATGGGTCTGCTAGCAAAGAAACAGTGAAAATAGATGTATTGACTCCAAGACCTTTAGAATCAAACGTTGTTCTAGACGTTCACCAGATTGTTTGCGGTGTAAGGCACGTCGCGCTTGTGACAAGGCAAGGAGAGGTTTTTACATGGGGAGAAGAAGCTGGAGGAAGACTTGGACATGGTATCCAAGTCGATATTAGTCGTCCAAAGCTTGTTGAGTTTCTTGCTTTAACCAACATAGATTTTGTTGCATGTGGAGAATATCACACTTGTGTTGTTTCTACCTCTGGGGACTTGTTTTCATGGGGAGATGGAATCCATAATGTTGGGTTATTAGGGCATGGTAGTG